GTCATACAACACCAGACTGTCATACAACATCAGACTGTCATACAACAACAGACTGTCAAACAACATCAGACTGTCATACAACAACAGACTGTCATACAACAACAGTGTCATACAACATCAGAATGTCATACAACAACAGACTGTCATACAACAACAGTGTCATACAACAACAGACTGTCATACAACATCAGACTGTCATACAACAACAGACTGTCATACAACACCAGAGTGTCTTCAGTCAGAGGCTTCTTCAGATCCGTTGTAGGACAGACGCTACAAGAGATCCTTCCTGCATCAGCATCTAGAACAACTCTTTAATGAAACCAGGATGATGAGTTACAACAACATTTAATTTCCCTCTGGGATTAATAAAGTATTTTTGAATTGAATATATATCCACACACACATAGATAAATTAAATCTCTGATGAACCAGATTCTACAAAAGCATGTAAATTTAAAATTGTATAGGTTTTCATCATCATTTGATGTATTTGCACTCATTGTGTCTACTGTTATTGTTCAATTCAGATGTGTGATTTTGTTTCTTGTTCACACACACACATATATATATGACTGCCAGGTTGGATCGGGATTCGGCCTTCATGATTACGCAAGGCCGGGGTCTGGCAACGGCCTTCTGCGAGTCACCAGCTCCAGCTTCACGGTGACCAGCGGAACTCGGAGCCGGGGAGGTGACGCCCTGCCTGGCCTGACACTCCGAGGGGAGGACCGGGGAGACCAGCAGAGCTCCATCCAGCTCACTCTGAATTTTGTCATCGGCCACCAAGCACAAAATCACCAGCACGTCAGCATTAGATCAAGGTGTTGTCATTATTGTTTTTAAAATCTTTAAAATAGGTCCAGCCGCTGCTCCATTCCAAGAAATTGCAAATGGCTGATCATTGTTTTGAAAAGTTTCTGAAGGATCCAGTGACTCCGCCCCCGACCAATCAGTGACTGACAGTGTTCTGACATCACGTTTTAGTACCTACTCATTCGGGTTAGAACCACAGAGCCAATGGTCCTGAAAATAGTAACAGATTCTAAGTACCGTTACTAATGGAAAAGCCTCAAAACTGGGTCCAGTCGGGTCCAGTCGGTCCGTACTGGTAATAATGGAAAAGGGGCATAGGGCTGCACAAAGTGTGTCTGGACGTGCAAGCTGAGTCTGTATTAGGAGCTCTTTGGGACTGAGGGCCTGCAGGAACTGATCCCGAGTGAGTTCTGCCTGCACTGTAGATGGCATGTTGTCATAAGCCCTCCTGCAGAGACACTTGATGTCATGGGCCAAAACACTAAGGGGCTCCCCTGCGTCTGTTGTGAAACTCTGATCGCAGCAGCACAAACTGGTTACACTGTCCATACCGTCTCTCTAGTGTTCCAAATAGAGCAG